TACTCAATATATCTGACTTTAAATTTGAAAAACTGAAGAGAAATGCCATTGTTTAACCCATCAGATTCTGATATGTATTAACATTCCGAAGGCCACCATGAAAAAGGTGTCTACATGTATGTAGTAAGATGTCCAACGTATATGTAATGTCCCATAGTAAAATTCACTTCTCTTTATACCTAACACTCATCTTTAGCTACGAAGGACTTCCAAGAAGATTAAGAAACAGATGTGCATATAGCAGTGTAGAGATCTCTCAAAGAGTCAAATACTTGAAATAGTCACTGTTTTTCAAAATGGCGGATATAGGAAACAGGGCAGATAAATATTAATGGAGGTTTTTAGATATGAATGCATGTACCTACATGTGTAAATAGGTTACACATTTATGACTCAGCAAATAGAAATTTTGAGAAAAGCTGTTAAAAAGTCATATAAAGTCTCCGTAGTTGTTCATTTTATAACCTATTGTTTTGGTATGGAAAATCCTGTTGAAAGTGAATGATTTTTATAAAACAGGACATTAGCCTTTGGGGACTATTATCTATGCTATAGCTCGTTGCTAGAAATAAGCAGCAGCCTGAAAGCTCTTGTCAGGAAAGGCTATAGCTAGGTATCAAATATATGAGCCTTGTACAAGTGTAAGGAATGATTTCAAGAAAAAAACAGTATTCCCTATCAATCAGGAGTGATACTAGTACTAATACATCATAGCAGACATGTTTTGCAGTATTGATACTTACTTAATGGTCAGCGTCGTTCATTTTTGTTTCCTTTTATCAATTTGATGTTATCATTACCGATTTGTCACGTTTTTATTTTCAAATACCAGTACAATTGTATTAAAATTATCATACAGTACCTCCCTGAACATTTGGAATGCAGAGATATAACATTGCTTGTAAATCATTATACATTTGTATGATTATGAAATTCATACTAGTAGCATTGCTACATTACAACATGCAACATGTATTGCTGACTGCATTGTGTTTGTGCTGTATGTAGGCCCTGGCTGCTCTGCTGGTACTGGTGACCTTACTTGACCTGTTCAGGTCCCTGTGGGAGTACACCAATGGAGTCAAGGTGCCTGCTGTCCACTTTGTGTCTCCTCTACTGCTGGCCATATCTATGGTAAGTAACAGTGAACAAAACAATACATTGTATAGTACAGATCTCAATTAACTTCACCTCCCACTCATTTTACATGCGGTTTTAATTTGTTTATTTCTCGTGCAAAAGTCCTGTACATTGTGTTTACGATCAAATTGAAAGCCGTGTAAAATCTGTGAAACACACAGTTAAATCAGCCATGTAAACTGTACACACGTAATTAGCTGCAATGGTGTGTGGCTGTCTATAATGCATAACCGCACAAACATCTACACACTGTCTTGTATTTTACACGAGAAATGGCATTACTTAATATGCAGGTGTTTTAATCAAGAAATGATTATTGTATGGAAAGGTTCATAACCAGGTTGTGCTGCAATAGCATATATTATAATTGTAACATTCTGCCTCTTCTTATTTCCCAGTGCCTGGCAGGGTTCTTCATCCAGTATGAGAGACTGAAGGGCAGACAGTCTTCAGCCATCCTCTTCTTGTTCTGGCTGCTAGCCACTCTGTGTGGCATCGTCACATTCCGCTCCAATATCAGGGTGGCCTTGTTGGAGGTAAGAGATATGCTTGTCTGAAGTAAGACTTTAAATGATGTGAACTACTATATATCTTTGTCAGTCAAATTGTTTTATGCTTTGTCTGACCCTTACCTCTTCCCTCATGACCGCCATGAAATGCAGCCTGCAGGCTGAGCTTCTCATGAATAAAGAAATGTTAAACAAAAGTTTTACAAGATCAACAAAGAAGTTCTTGTGAATTTGAATGGTTCAAGCAAAATTTATTGTTTTACAGTAATGTATTCATTATTGTGAATTTCTCAATGATTCTGTATTTTCCCACTGGCTAAGGCAACTGACATGCATATATATTGGATATAATCTTTTCTAAGACCTTTGACCTAACTTCCTGTCAGTGTTTTTGATGTGGATAGCATAAGGAAGATCATGGAAACAAAAGCAAACACACACACACACACACACACACACACACACACACACACACACACACAACACACACACAACAACACACACACACACAAACACACACACACACACAAACACACACATAATAATCTGTACAAGTCATGTACATTTAGGACATGAATTGTAGTACCCTGGCTTTGTTGGCAATACACCAAATATCTGTATTTACAGGGAGGTGTGCAGGATACGTTTAGATTCGTGACGTTCTACCTGTACTTCCCCCTGGTGCTTGCTGAGCTCATCTTGTCCGTCTTCAGTGAACGAGCGCCACTCTTCTCTGAGACCAACAGAGATCCGGTAAAGCTTTGTTTCCACATCACAGTAACTAACTGTAGCAGTGTAACTGTAACTAACTTTAAAAAAGCCACCCGCCAACTGTTCACACAATATGAGTCCTGTGATTAGAGTGTGAATTAGGTATCTTTCATTTGTACATAATGTAATAATGTAAATTTCCTCTTTATGTCATATGTGTATTTTTAACTATGTCATCTGTTGTTTGTATTGTATGATCTTTGTATGAACCCTGGAAGACTAGCCAGTTTTGGCTAAAGGGTATCGTAATAAAGGAATAAAGGAGTGTTCTGGACAGCCTGAAATTTTTGTCCATTACCTCAATTTTGTAACATCATTAAATTGAGCACCAAAATTTAGAAATCTTGACCGTCTGAAATGCTATTTGCTGCATTTCCGGGGGCAAATCTTGCTGGTAGGCTAAGCTTTGTTAAAATTTGAGATGACAGGGCAAATTTTTGTCTGTCAAAATTGAATGGCAAAATTCCGTCAAACAACACAAAGACAAATGCTGACTAGAACATTGAACCATAGTGACTAAAGATGTGTGTGCTGGGGCATGAACTGATTATTATCTTTTGTCATCAGATTTCTGATTCAGTATTCATTATTGATCATCTGGACGTCTTTTCTACGTATCTAAACATTCATATTTTTAACCAGAAACCCTGCCCAGAGGAGACATGTTCCTTCCTGTCCAAAATAACCTTCTGGTGGTTCAACCCGTAAGTAGTCCTCTTTTACATCTGTACAAACTTTGGAAAAAGATACATTTCTGGAAACATGGTGACATCAGCATTAGTACTATGTACTGTATTCACCTGTGAAAGGCAGAGCTTCACTAACTTTACTCTTTCTAATGCTTGATATCAGAATTTATAAGGTCAGAAACTAACCCAGAAATGATGACACAGTCATTATCATAAGTGTGCACAGAATATGTTAACTTGATGTCACTGCTTTTGTAGAGTGTCCAGACACAGGGGTATCCTGTCATTCAATGGCCCCAATATTCTAGATGGAAGAATCTGAAAGTGAAGTTTTGTTTTCAAGTGAGATTTACCTAAAATCAAGGCCCTTCTGTTGAGGTGGAAGGACGATATATTATGAAAATATAGGTACCTATTTTTTTTTTTTCAAAAACTTGCCCAGCCGTTCATCTTTCCTACCTTATGTGCCATGTTTTTCAAGTTTGTAAACTGTCACTTGTTTTGAATGTCCTCAGACTGGTGATACTGGGGTACAAGCGTGCCCTGGAGAGGGTGGATCTGTACTCACTGAACCACGTGGACAGGTCAGATCATGTGGTTCCAGTCTTTGAGAAGGAATGGCAAAAGGAGCGGCAAAAATGCCACCGGTAAGATTACCTCTTGGGTTTCTGGCTCTCTGCTTGAGATGTATTTGTTTAATGGCATGTGGGTGAGAGGGCTCTTTGGTTTCCAACCAAGTTCCATTTTTTCACACTAAAAAAGCATATCTGGCATACAGTAGTTCATTACAAGGTACTGTTGCTTCTGTCTGCTAAACTTTGAAGTGTTGACATTTTTATGTTTTCTTGCCTTTTTCATCACTGTATAACACTCCAAAACAACCTTTCATTGTCATGAAATGTCTGGACTTTCTTCAAACTGTAGACTATAGTATATAAGCTCGTATCTCACTTTTGACTTATTGTAATTATATGGAAGTCCATCACAGCTTAACATTTTTCTCCCTGTATGTAGGTTTCTCCATATTTATGATGTACACAGTCTTCTTGTCTGCTTTTTCTTCTGATATGCAAACTCACCAGCAAAACATGTGTAGCAGCCATGAGTCTAACCTCTTTGAAAATGGATTATGTAAGATTGGGCATTGCTAAGGCTCCTGACACCGCTAAGCAAGATATGTGGCGAAAAAGCAACCAATTTGGACAAGGGATAAATTTGTCCTTTCATCTAAATCTCACTGATTTCCTCCAAATGCTCTAGAAGTAAGAAAAGAATTAAGGGTTTAAAGGTACACAATTGAATTTTTGATGCCTGAGGTATTACAAATTGAATACATTTTAACGGTACGAAATTTTACCCTTTCCATCTTTCATGCTTCAACAATCTCTTTTAGTTTTAGCTATGCTTCTGAACTGAATACTGCTTGCATTGCTTGTGACTTACTGTAGCAAACCTTCTTCTTGTTCTGTGTGTGCTGTATTTTACCATCACTTGTCGCAGCTCTCCGAAGCAAGGTTGCAACACGGGGTCAGAAAAGTAAGTGGATGTTGTTGGCCCTGCCATGAGGTGACCAAGTCTGTGGGTGTTAAGGACACTTGTTTATAGCTTAAATATACATCCTGTTCTTGTTTATAAGGTACAAAATGTATATCAATCAATTGAATATGAAATGCACTGTCCTACCACATGTATGTTTAAATGGATTGACTGCAAAGAATGACAATGGAGATGAAACGTTGTATCAGGAACTCAGGTGAATAAGGAGTTGTGAAAACAACACCACAGGAAGAAAAGACAGCTGATTACTTTTTCACACATTCTACCCTCCATTCTTTCTGGTCTGTCCCTAAGATTCTCCTATCCTTCTGCAATCAGTATTATTTTCTTTCATGCTTAGGACAAAGTAAAATACTGCTTAAGTAAGATTCCATGTAGTACATGTTGTGAACCATCCACATACCTCAAAGTTCATACATTTGTAGTACTCGTCTGTGATAATAAGAGGTACACAAAAATTTCATATTGAGGAGAATAGTACTTAACACCACTGACATTGAACTTCTAGTTTCGAGAGTCAAGATGCCAAGGTGGTATACAACGGCCCTCAAGGGATGGGAAGGGACAAATCTGAGCTGATCGCCGGTAAAGGAGAAGTGGAGATCGTGGAGGGATCCAAGGATGTGAAGCAGTGTAACCCGTCACTCTTCAAGGCTCTGGTCAGATGTTTCTGGCATCTGTTTGCCGTCAGTGCTGCCTACAAGCTGGTACAGGACATTCTCCTGTTTGTCAGTCCACAGCTCCTGAAGTAAGTACTTTTCTATAGCAGGGCTCAAAATACTAAAATTTTACCTAGTACTGCTTAGTGTGGATCATGTGAAAAACTGGTCAGATTCATTGCCATTATTTCTGAGTGAGTGAGTGAGTGAGTGAGTGAGTGAGTGAGTGAGTGAGTGGGTGAGTGAGTGACTGAGTGAGTGACTGAGTGAGTGCATTCACTCTTGTGTGAGTGAGTGTTGAACCAGCATATGCAGTTGGTATTTTAGTATGTTAGTGAGTAGAAAAAATATTTAGAGAAAAGACTTTCTTTGAAGCTGAAGTACATTGACTAGCATGGATATTTTCTCCGTATTTGCATTATTGTTACAAAATGTTTATACATTAAGATTAAAGGATTGCTCATTTGTTTCTGAAGACTGAAAATTAACTTGAATGGATAAAAAATCCCCTTTCTTTCCTTCCCCCCACAGGTTGTTGATTTCTTTCACAAAGGACAAAAGCATATTTTCATGGAAAGGCTATGTGTATGCTGTCCTGCTATTGCTTGTGGCCATCATCCAATCATTGGTGTTGCACCAGTATTTCCATGGCTGCTTCGTCATGGGCATGCGCCTGAGAACTGTCATCATATCTGCTGTGTACAAAAAGGTACAGTTAGGTCCCTTAAGTTGGGAATACTAGTACTTTTCTTAATGCAGTCAAATTTGCCCAAGTGACAGAAGAGGAGCCCAAGGAGAATTTCTTGAATGGCTAACTCAACTAATGAGCATTAGGGGCTTTTTTTATCTTTTGTGTTACTATATTCTACTTACCATATGGTCTGTTTTTGTGGGGTTTGTTTACAGATTAAATCTTTAATGATAATTGCTGAAGATAGTGTCGGGGCTCTTTTTCAAACTAGTCTGAACTGCTTTTGTTGTTCCAGTCTCTGGTGGTCACCAACGAGGCTCGCAAGTCCTCCACCGTCGGTGAGATCGTTAACCTGATGTCGGTGGACGCCCAGCGGTTCATGGACCTGTGCACGTACCTCCACATGATCTGGTCGGCGCCGTTCCAGATCGCCGTGTCGCTGTACTTCCTGTGGCAGACCCTGGGGCCGTCCATCCTGGCAGGGCTGGGCGTGATGATCCTCCTCATCCCCATCAATGCTGTCATGGCAAACAAAACCAAACAGCTCCAGGTAAAGCCCCCGTCACACATTCACGGAGTTGACCTCCTCATACGCTAGCCAAACCATGGTTAGGAGTGGGTCGACTGGTGTTGGGTTGATGTTCAGAGAATTTGGCTACAGTTCGGCTGTGCCAGCCAAATGTTTCAAAATGTTGAAAACATTTGGGAGGCGTTCAGGAAGTCCAATCATATTCATAGTTGGCTGGTTATATACACATCAGTGGTCAAAATACTTTTTTTCAGTGCTCTGCAATATTGCAGAAGAGTCAAAATTTTGTTCTGCAATTTGGAAATACTTCCTGCAAATACACAAGCCTCCATACTACAATCTTGCAGGTTTATAAGCATGAACTATTAATTGATATGCACATTAGTGAAGACAAATTTTTGGAAGTCCAAAAAGAAACAAAACTCAAAAGACAGACAAGTCAAGACCAGGTTGATGCAAATTAGTGAAGAAGCTCCTGTTGTTTCAGAGCAGGAGCTTTTAAAGTGTTGTCTGTCCTTGGGGCCAAGAGCGCCAAATCCCAAGTGCCAATTTTTCCTGCTGCAAAATTGCAGATTGTATAAATTTTTCTTCTGCAATCTTGAAAATCTATTTGCAGATTGCAGACTGCAGACAGGTATTTCGAACACTGCACATTTATATGTTGTGTACGTAATAATGTAAATGCTCATGTCTTCTTTAGGTGAAACAAATGAAGGAAAAAGATTCTCGCATCAAACTGATGAACGAGGTACTGAACGGCATCAAGGTGCTGAAGCTGTATGCCTGGGAGCTGTCCTTCAAGGAGAAAATCGAGAAAATCAGATCCAAGGAGCTACAGATCCTCCGAAACACTGCATTCCTCAACGCTGGAGCATCCTTCACATGGGTCTGTGCACCTTTCCTGGTGAGTCGAACTCTTTATTTCAGAATTTTTTACTTCTGGTAGGGAACGTTCATTTTGGATGGTAACGGTTTTGGTTTGTGTGTTCTGTTGAAAGCAGTTAGAAGTAGCAACTTGCTCATTTGCCAATACCATTGGAGTCGATGTGACCACAGCACTGATGCAATGCTGCATTTTGTTAATGATGTTCCTCCTCTTCTCCAAACCAAAAAGATCAACCTGACCTGAACCACACTGTCTGTTACCATGGTAACTAGTGTTGGGCTACATCATGTTGCAATTTTATAGCAGGAGGGATTTAGACTTCCGTCTGACCACATATGAATGTTTTTGAGTAAGAATTAACAGAGCAGACCATATGCAAAGGTAAACATTTGCTTTGCTTTTTCTTCCCATCCAGGTTTCCCTGACAACCTTTGCTGTGTATGTGATGGTTGATGAGAGGAACATTCTGGATGCAGAGAAGGCCTTTGTGGCCCTCTCGCTTTTCAACATCCTCCGCTTTCCCCTCAACATGTTACCAAACCTCATCACCAGTATGGTCCAGGTAGGGACTTCCACTAACCACTATTTCTTGGTTCTCAGATTTTTTCAGAAAAAAATGAAGCGACGGGGAAAAAAACAGGCCTAGGTATCCTGTGAATAGTATGAGGGTCCAAAATGTTATGATAGAAGCCATGGATTCAACCTACCAGTCTGGTTTATGAATCAAACAATGTATTTAAATGTTAACATAACTGTCCTTGGTGCTGACTGCCTTCCACACAAAAGTTAACATAACTATCCTTAATGCTGACTGTTTTCCACGCAAAGGTTAACATACCTGTCCTTGGTGCTGAATACTTCCACACAAAAGTTAACATCCCTGTCTTTGGTACTGAATACTTCCTCTCAAATGTTGCATACCTATCCTTGGTTCTGACTGCCTTCCATGTCAAAGTTAACATACCTGTCCTTGGTGCTGAATACTTCCACTCGAAGGGTAACATACCTTTCCTTGGTGCTGACTGCCTTCCACACAAAAGTTAACATACCTGTCCTTGGTGCTGACTGCCTTCCACACAAAAGTTAACATACCTGTCCTTGGTGCTGAATACTTCCATTCAAAAGTTAACATACCTGTCCTTGGTGCTGAATACTTCCATTCAAAGGTTAACATACCTGTCCTTGGTGCTGATACTGCCACACAAAGGAAAAACATGCCTGTTTTGGTGCTGATTATGGTAGACCACTATTTTTTATGATAGACACTGTTTTCTTTCTTGACCAGGCCAGAGTTTCCTTACAACGTTTGGAAAATTTCCTGGGTCACGATGAGTTGGATCCCAACAATGTGGACAGACACGTCCTGAGAGGTATGTTACAAGTCCTTCTCACTGCTGTTGACTAACATGATGAGAGCATTTGGCTCAGTACCAAGCTTTACGAGTTACTAGTACTTAGACAAGGCAAGTTTAGCTACTCAATGAGATTTTTCTGTTCTATGTATTACAGGTCCTCCTATTGCCATTGAGGATGGCACGTTCAGCTGGGGGAAGACAGAAGACCCCATCCTCAAGGAGTATGTATTTTAATTTACATGAGTAACAAAGACTTTTATTGTCCTAAATTGGTTAATATCTATATATACAGCTGGTATAAGTATCCCTTTGTTTAACACACCAGCTTCCCAGGAACAGTATATATTAATCCAATATGGCTACATTTGAAACTAATTCAGTACCTGAAAGAAAGCAGTCAGCAGGCTCACTTCAGCATATGAAACAAAGGCTCAAACAAACAAACATTATAAGAACCTGCCTTAGAGCATATAAGTATGACTGACACATTTATAGCAAGGCCGTATTGTTTTCATGAAAATGATTTGTATCCCTTGCAGTATTAACTTTGCAGTGCCCGATGGCTCACTGGTGGCAGTGGTTGGTCAGGTGGGAGCAGGAAAGTCGTCCCTTCTGTCTGCCCTGCTGGGAGAGATGGAAAAACAACATGGATACGTCGCTGTCAGGGTGAGAATAACTCATGCTTGTCAGAATTAGTACTATAGTAGCTAACTCTATATCATTCAACACAGTAACTAATACTATTGCTGCTACTTCTTCTACTGTATATTATGATGTATTTGTACATTTAGTATAGTTTATGCTTGATGATGAAGTTGATCCATTGCAGGAAAAGTTTGACTAATCTTGTGTTGATGTCACATGTCACGTGTCACAAAGTTATGATTACATTGTAGCTGTTGTTTGTTACAAATAGCTCTCAAGATTCAGTCCCTGACTGTAAGTTGAGTGGTTAGCCTTTGCTTGATATGTGCTAAGATTAGTGTTAAATAGCCAACAGTCCTCAAATTTTTCCACAGTTCTATTTGCATGTTTCTAATAGTATGACAATATTATTCATACCAGTACTTTTACATTGCTTTTCCTGTAGGGGAGCACAGCATATGTTCCCCAGCAGGCGTGGATCCAGAACGCTACCCTGAGGGACAACATCCTGTTTGGCAAGCGTCTGAACAACTGCCACTACAAGGAAGTCTTGGAGGCCTGTGCCTTGGGTCCAGACTTGGAGATGCTGCCTGGCGGTGATCTAACAGAGATCGGAGAGAAGGTAGGAAGTCATAAATCGGCAGGTTTGCAAGGCAAGGTGGTCAAGGGGCAATCTGTCATGGAGCAACCCATAGGAGCAATCTGATCATCCACAAAATTCACTCACAAATGTACTCAATCTTTAATACATGTATTTCGTTTACGAAAACTGCCAAAAGTGTGATAAAATTTCCACAATCATGCCAATATATTTTTTCCAACAAAGATGCTTTCTGGTTTATTCTGTCTTGTTCCCAGGGTTGTTAAATACATGTATATTCTCTCATTCCCAGGGTATCAACCTGAGCGGTGGACAGAAGCAGCGGGTGAGCCTGGCCCGTGCCGTCTACAGCGACTCCAACATCTACTACCTGGACGACCCTCTCAGCGCCGTGGACGCACACGTCGGGAAACATATCTTCGACAACGTCATCGGACCTAATGGCATTCTGAAGGGAAAGGTGCCTGTGGCTCTTGTCACTTTGTAATTTCAGACGAGACTGGATATTGGGGTTTTTGTTAACACAGCCAGTAATGTCTCTCACCTTCTTATGTTTCAATGTCTGTCACTGTCAGACAACTTCCTCAGAGCTTCTAATTGGAATAGTACTGATTCTCGCTGCTACAAATACAATGTGTATGAAGCCGATGTAGGTGGCACTTTTGCGGCATTTGTGTGAGAGAAAAATCCCAATATCCTCTCCGTGAATAGTTTCATCAGATGGAAAGTTACTGAGTAAAGAGACTCTTTTACACTAAACCAAGTCTTTTATTCACAGTCGGCGTTTCGGTGACCATCTGTCACCTTCCTCAAAGCAATTCTGACTGGTTCACATTCCACTGCAGCACAGGTGTCACTGCTGTAGAATGATGCATTCCCAAACGTACAATATTTACATATCTACACATGCATGTATACGTAGTTACAGGTAACTGTATCTACAATGTGGTCCCAAACGCACTGGAGTGTGTTGTATATTCCGGTACCCCAATATATACCCCAATATCCTCTGTTGTACCAACCTGATGAAATTATTGTTGTATACAGACGAGACTGCTGGTGACCCACGGGATCAGCTTCCTGCCTCAGTGTGACCAGATCATGGTGCTGGTGGACGGGCGCATCTGGCTGCTGGGGACCTACACCGAGCTCATGGAGCAGAACGAGGCATTTGCCGAATTCATCCGCAACTACGGCAACTTCGAGGACGAGGAGGAAAACGAGGAAGGAGATCCCACAGGTTGGAGGGCAATTTTATGTTACTGGGCACATATATGCTGTCTTAGTCCATTATACAGCAATTTCTAGCATCCCTCCAAGTGCCACATTGGATGTTAAAGGTCAACTACAGCCATCTACTGCGAAGAATTCCTCACTGCCAGCACAAAAATTAGACTACTCTAGAAGAAGCATGACAGAAGAGCATTTTCATTCATTACAAAGCTAGTATTCAGTTGTCATGTACATATTGATACCTTTAACGTCACAGGGTTGCACATTAAGAATGTGGTTGATGTCAACATATTCTGCATTGCACATGTGAATATCTACCTTGTTGCTGCATGTATTTGAAACTCTTTAAAAAAAGGCGAGTCATCTTTTCAGTATTACCAGCCTGTCAATGTTTCGACAGTGCAGTGTGCTTTCTACAGTTTCCTTCCATGTACAGGTGCGACTATGCTAGGATAAGCCTCACTCAATCAGAATCTGGTCCTGTTCTTTGCCAATGAAATAACTCCTTCCTGCCAATTTCCCTGTTTTTTTTACCTTATGCTGAACTTCTTGGCTGTCTTTCTTGCAATGGGTAAGTACACTAAGCTTTTCTGCTGCTTGCTTTCCATGTTGCCCCTTTTCTGTACATTTGGGTTCTTTACTTAAATAATTGTTGATGGGTTGGTAAAACAGGTGAAAATGCTCCTTTTAACATCTTAAACAAGTAAATCAGAGTAAATAAGATGCAGTGTTTAGTTTCTTGCGGTCTGTTAAAAGAATATAGATGTGTTTATGAAATAGGACACTACCTTCAATCCACCATAAGATTTACTTCACATAGAATTTAGATGTCTAATGATAGTAACCACCTGTTCTATTTCTTCTTGAACTGTTATGTTTTTGTTTGTTGCCGCAGTTTGTACATTAAACTGTATTACAAATAAATAAGTCATACATGTAATTATCAAGCTGGCTATACATGTAAGTAAAGATTACCAAATAACCAAAGATTAATAAACATCGTTTTACAAAATATGCTAAGACCTGTGTCATTTAAGAGTCCTTGCTAAAAAAAATGGTGCCTTCCTTTGATCACAAAGCATCAGACTTCTACTGTACTTAGCAAGTCTGTAAACTATTTTCCTTTTGAACCCCCAGTCATGTCCCTTCGAGAAGAGGACATCGGTGTACTGGTGGACGATGATCTGTCCCTACCGGCACAGAATGCAGAGGAGGATAATCCTGTCACCCAGGCCAGAAGGATGTTACAAAGGTACACGGAAGCTCCTGGGTTATTGGCAATGTAAAGCTTAGCTACTGTGAAGCAAAATTCTAGATGGAAATGCACTGTCTTGTGCTGTGTATTTCTTTAGATAGATGTACATTTCCTTTTGGCCTATAGACACACTACTGATGACTGCAAAGACAATAGACAATGTAGTTCAGAAGTTTTTTCTTGTTACCCGGTATTCTTCACATTCACTCTTCACAAGTCCTCATAGGTTCCCAAAGGCAACAGCTGTTGAGGACGTTTGTTTGTTTATTTCTTTGTTGGCTACATGGTGTCAAGAAAGCTTGCCACCTGGCCTTGAAAACTTTGGTCATAAGTTGGGATGAGTTGGTTGGAACTATTCATAATTGTTCTCTTGGACGTGCCGAATTCAAATGTAAGCACAGATCTAGATCTGTCAGTATCGTTGATCACCGCCCATGTTGTTTGCTAATAGCAGTATTCTTGTAATGAGTCTTACGAAAACAACATATCATTGATGTTCTCCCAATGCATTTTGACAGACAAATGAGTCGAGACAGCCGTGTGCGAACAGTGAGCATGAGAAGTGACACCTCGTTCTCAGAAAGAGGCAGCCAGCGCAGCTTACACCGCAGTCATGAGGGGACACCGGAGAGCCCGTCCAAAACGCTTGACGGCATCGCAAAACCCATCCCGCTGAAACGCGTCCTCTCTCACGAGCAGAAGTGTCAGCTGCCCCAGAAGAAAGACACCAAGGAAGGAGACAAGCTTATACAGAAGGAAGTGGCAGAAACTGGCAGGGTATGTTAGAATTAATTATAAAAGTAGTCTCATTTTGATTGAATTTCCAAGTAAATGAACATTAGATCCAAGCATAGTCCATGTTTTACTCCAGTATCCCAAACTTGCAAAACTTCCTGTTGTTCTTAAGATTCAACAAGGCCTTCTTAAGATTATGTCTTGAACACCTGGATATTTGGAGTGTACATACCTTCTGTATCTGTATAGCCAGTTACTATAACCGCCCCTTGGCATATCACACCAGCTTCGCAGGCACGTATCGCAGCTGCAGCTAGCTACATTACACCTAACTTTTGAACATCTAACTCTAAACATTGTTTAAAGCTATCTAATACCTTTGGGATTACTGATGCTACATTAGTAGATATAGATCTCTTCAAATTTGTCTTTTTATCAATGTAGTGGTCTTAAGTAATTATGAGATTTGACAGTACATGAATGTTGCCTGCAAAAACAAAAAGGCCAGCTCTGACGACATGACAATTTTCCTGATCTGCAGGTGAAAGCCTCAGTGTTTGTTGAGTACATAAAATCCGTGGGCATCGTCTTGTCCGTCATCATCTGTCTGCTGTACTGTGCTCAAAACGCAGCGTCCATCTACTCCAACATTTGGCTGAGTGAGTGGAGCAACGATCAGCCCATCAACGGCACCCAGGACACCGCCAAGAGGGACCTCCGCCTCGGCGTGTACGGGGCCCTCGGAATCGCACAAGGTGACGTAAAAATATCTCCATGCACACGTCAGCTTTCTTAAAATACAGTATGACTTAATACGTAATTCATTTGATGTTTGAAATATGAGGTTGCAATGTGTCCTTCTGGTGAACAAGATAATGTAATTACATTTTTTATCAGTTTAGACATGCAGAATAAGAGCTAGGGAAATCCACACAGCAAGTAGAGGGCACTCTAGTGTGGTTATAAATTGTACCCATGTTGACTTAAGTGCAAAATGTGCCTTCAAGTTTATTCAGTCTGTCAGTGCATTGCTTTAACGCAAACAATGTACATGTACAAATGTATGTGCAGTTGGTGAATAATTTCCAATGTTTTTGTATTAGCTAAAATGACTGTACATGAAGTTCACACCTTGTTTGTAAGAAATTGTGGAACTGTTTCTTTGTGCAGTTGCAACAGCAATAGTTATCTGTCCATAGCTACAGCATAGATTCTGATACATGTATGTTTGGCCGCAGGTCTGTTTGCAATGTGCTCCAGTTTTGCTCTTGCTATTGGAGCGTTGTTCGCCTCCACGGCTTTGCACACTAGCCTGATGAACAACGTATTGCACCTGCCCATGGCGTTCTTCGATACCACGCCCCTTGGCCGCGTCCTGAACCGCTTTTCACGGGACATTTACACCGTGGACCAGATAATCCCCATGTGCATGCAGATGTTTCTCTACACGTTCCTGAGCACCTTCAGCACCATCATCGTCATGACCTACAGCACACCCCTCATACTTGTGGCAGTGGTGCCCAGCATTCTCCTGTATCTCTTCATCCAGGTACACAATGTGCATAGAGCAGGCCGCAAAATGATCACAGCACACGTCACCACACTCAGCCAGTCTTCTCACATCCCATGTAATCTGTCTCTTTTTCAGGTCATACAATACCTCCCTGGATGCTGCTTTTCTGTCGTCAAAACAGTTTGCTGTGCCTCAGTCATTTGTTAACAACACGGTGTTCTGTATTCATGCTCATTCAATGTATGGAGTAGATACCTTGGTGACTTCTTCTTTTACCTTCCGTCTCCTCAGGTGTGTCTGTGATGCTGTCCAGTTTCGTCCTTGCTACGGGGGCCTTGTATGCCTCCACAAGCTTGCATGCTAGCCTGATGGACAATGTCTTCCATCTGCCCATGGCGTTCTTTGATACCACGCCGCTTGGCCGCGTGCTGAACCGCTTCTCCAAGGACATTTACACGGTGGACCAGATAGTGCCCATGTGCATGAGGGCATTCATGAGCACGTTTTTGAGCACTCTCAGCACGATCGTGGTCATGGCCTACAGCACGCCCCTGATTCTTGTCGTGGTGGTGCCCTGCATCCTCTTGTATCTCTTCATACAGGTACTGAACATGCTGAGTGCAAGTCTCAACACAACTGAAACACGCCACCACACGAAACCAGTCCAGTTTCTACTGCTGTCCATCTCTAACCTGACTGTAGTCTTCCAGGTCCTGTAATGTTTCCCAAGGTGCTGTCATCAAAGCAGCTGCTGTGTCTTCTTATTTCTAGCCATGTGCTGCTTACAGTATTCTCAATTAGTACTAACAATCTTAGTAGATGCAACTTGAATGTACTGTAGATGTAGTTTTTACTGTAGATGTAGTTTTTTTTCTCACATTTTTCTGTTTTATTTTCCTTCTGCTCAGGTGCTTTTGCAATGCTTTCCAGTTTCACCCTTGCTACCGGAGCCTTGTATGCCTCTACAAGCTTGCATGCTATGCTGATGAACAATATCCTGCATCTGCCCATGGCTTTCTTTGATACCACGCCGCTCGGCCGCGTTCTGAACCGCTTCTCCAAGGACATTTACACGGTGGACCAGATAGTGCCCATGTGCATGAAATCGTTCTTGTTCACACTTTTGGGCTCACTCAGTTCAATTGTCGTCATGGCCTATAGCACACCCATAATCCTGGTAGTGGTGGTGCCGCTCATCCTAGTGTATCTCTTCATCCAGGTACAGAACATGCCAAGTGCAAGTCACCACACAACTGAAACACGCCACCACACAGAAAATCGTCCAAATCCTCTTGCTGTCAATGATTTTAACCTTACTGTACAACATAGTCTTTCAGGTTCTACAAGATTCAGCTTAGATGCTGGCCTCTCTGTCATTAGACCAGTTGTACATTCTGGTCATCGGCCAATCTTGCATCTTGTAGGAGCTAACTGTACTTTCCTGTACTGTACATATATAGTTCTGTAATATTCTCTTTACATTGATGACATGAAACCAACAGTTACTGCACAAATATGTTTTCAAGTTGATATCTCTCACCACTGAATCCTTTTTCCTTGACTGTTATGAAAGGTACTGTTCATGCAGGGACTTCTTCTCAGCTTTTTTCTAGTGAAGAATGAACAATGTCATGTTATGTACAATTGGCTCCTTTCTAAATGCTCCATTTACTCTTTGATTACTGCAAAGTGAAATTGAATTTCTTAGCATCAATGCTCAGTTTTAAAACAATTGTCATACAAGGGATCCTTAAGAAAATACAAGCTGCTTACCTAATGTGATATAAACTGCCCCCTAAAAAGACAGAAAATTTGTGTTCTTTATATATAGCTGCAAGGTAACACAGCTACAGTTACTGGTAGTAAAGCATATAAATGTAGTTACTGGTAGGTAGTAAAGCATATAGTAGTTTCTACTGCCAAAGGCTTGTTGATCAATGCAGATGCAGATATCACATTGATGGCTTTAGCACTATAATGCTCAACAAGGTATCTCTGAGCTTGCTTTAGATATACCATCTTAGATTTGTCAATTAGTATAAATCTGTGCCTACTGGATGTAGTGTGCAGGCATTGATGTCTTGGTGTTTTAGTCTACGGTGACCTGTTACAAGCTACATTGTAGATATTCCTTCCAGATTAGGTTGCTTAATGCTACCTACTTTCTATCATGGTAATCATAATATTATCACTGCTTCACAGGTGAGTTTAAAAACTTAAATAGATTCCCAGATACTAGGAATTTCTGCTGCTGCAAGCATACTGTTGTTGCCTTTATCTCTCTGTTTGATTCACATCATCATTATGCAGATGAATTTCTGCAAAAGTATAACATAGCTAATGAGTAATGTATTAGCAGAGCATAGCTATTTAGGGAGGATTTCTTTAGGTTTCAAAGGTTCTACCCAGGAATTTAGGGTATGGTGGTGCCATTACGAGCGTGTGCAGTACCTAATGCAACATTTTGGAATTACATGTAACTTATAACTGTTACAATATTTGAATAAGGACCTGTGGATGGCGTGAAATTTGCATTTTTACTCTTCATTACTGATGATTTCATATTTCTGAACAGGACTGACAAGCTGAACACTTTTATCAATGAAATGCTTTTATCAATGAAATGCTCATTGATACAACTACTTGTAACTGAAGGTCTTGTTTTTTTCCACTTGCCCATAGGTTTGGCTGTTTCTTTGTCCAGATTTGCCATAGCCTATGCGGGAATAGTGGCATCCCGAAACCTCCACTCTATCCTGCTATCCAGTGTACTGTCCCTCCCAATGGAGTTCTTCGATACCAACCCGCTCGGGCGCGTTCTGAACAGATTCGGACATGACACGTACACGATCGACAGTGTCATTCCGGAAAGAATGAACAGTCTCCTAAGCTGCTTCTTCAAAGTTTTAAGCATCCTTGTTGTTGTCATTATAAGCACACCTATATTTGCCACTGTGCTGCTTCCACTCGGAATTATTTATTTCTTTGTACAGGTAAAGTGGACGTTTTATCCCAGCAAAAAAGCTAAACATGCCTGCAATGAATCTCACTTGAACCCAATGGTGATTGGATATAATCATTATAATCATTGATTATGATGACAGTCTGTCTAATACATGTGTATGTGGTACACTACTGTAATTGTACCTTCTTGTTGATTGTTTCGTGAATAACAGAAGAGCTAGTAAATGGGTTACAGGGCCAGGGTTCTGTCTGTGTTTTGGCTTAAAGAAAATGGTGGTGATTGTGATCATTGATCAAGGTTGTTTCATATCTTCTTTTAGTAATTGCTTGATGTCTTCTTCTGTCTGTGTTCTTCTATGTCTGTCTTTTGATTGTTTGCTCTCTTTTTCGAAGTGTATCTGAAAAACAATGTTCTCAGTAGTATTTTTCAGTGGGCAGCAGTTAGCATTATCATTAGTGGTTGTTTATTGCAGTACTAGGAGTTTTTAATGCTATCCATGCAGCTTTTACATGTACTTGATACCTTGGTATATATATATATATATATTATGCAATTATGGTATCTTGCTTTGGGATATAGAAACAATCCTCTGGTGATGCAAACTAGTACTCTTGACATAACTGATAAATAGTGAAGAGTCATCATCATTTGAAATAGACTTTGTTAAATGTTTCTCACCTCATGATGTTTCCTTGCTGAATTGTGAAGACAACATGCACATTACAGCATGATATTAAGGTGTGCTTGATTCTACTCCTTTCTTCTATGCAGCAACCATTCTTATAAAGGGGCATGTTGATACCTCCTAACTAGAATTTAATGACCAGTATTTCTTTTTTTCTTTTTAGGCTCCAGAATTTGAAAGTTGACAATTGAAGGCTTATAGCTTTACTCAACTTGGCATAACAATTGAAGGCTTATACATTATGTAGCTCTGCTGAAAGTGCCATAACAATTGAAGGCTTATAGCTCTGCTCTTGGTACCATTAACACAGCTTCCCTCTTCTTGCCATCTACATTAGGTGTGGCTGTGGTTCTCACAGCATTCGCTGTAGCGATGGGAGGCTTTGTCTCGGCGAAGCACGTGCACAGTATCTTGGTGTCCAACGTGTTGCGCCTCCCTATGATGTTCTTTGATTCCACCCCTGTCGGACGAATCCTCAACCGATTTTCCCAGGATGTAAACACGGTGGATTCCGTCCTACCCGCCAGGATGTCCAGCATCATCCACTGTTTCACTAAAATTCTCAGCGCCATTATTGTGATAGTCATGAGTACACCTGTCTTTGCAACTGTCATACTGCCGCTCGGACTTATCTACTTTTTCATCCAGGTAACACCCACATGCACCTGGAGGTACGCCTGCAGGCCACACCTTTTTTATTTGTATATTTGCCTGCAATAGAGTATTGCTATTGCTTGTCTGGGCTGTGGAATTTAAGATACTTGAATTGGAGTAGACTGCTTTTTGATCATACACATGTATTAACAATCAATGGCAGTTGACATCAGTTCTAAATCAAATGTGCATTTTCATCTGTGAACCATTTCATCTGTGAACTTCTGTATTTGTCCATAACATTTTGTGTACTAACCGACATTGAAAAGCCACTTACATTGTAGACGACTGACAAAACGCATTTTGTCCTTATATGTATCTGTAGTACATGTTCGGTATGGAGAGACAAAGGTTTTGAGTTATTCAGCATATGCATAGTCCATCTATAGAGGAGAGTCAGGCAGTTAAGAGATGTTAACTGACTATTTGCATATGGGAAATCTACAGCATTTCCAGTTGATTGAATCCAAAGTCAGCCTCTCATGTGCCTTGCAGTTGTCCTTTAGTTCTAACTAACAGTTACTTGAAGAGAAACATCCACGTCTTGTCCAGTGCCTTCTTTCACAGCACCTCTGCCCACTGTTCCAAGCAGTCATGGTTTAGTGCTTGGGACAAAATTATCCTTCCTCAAACTTTGGCTGGCTGGCTTATGTCTGTTAGCAGATGAATGTAGAGTCCCTCCATAGCTTGGGCTGTGTTATACACAGTGTTGTTGACAGTTGCAATGCTTGTCAGTGTAATTGTTGTCATTTGCCCTCAACTGTAGGTACAAATACACGCACAGAATAGAGTTACCCTTCTACAGGCACTCATAAACTGTGTACTGATGCTCTCTTATAGTCCAGTCAGCATTAGTTCTCATGTATCTTTACATGTAGGACAGGTGGTACTGTTTCTTCATAGCCCCCCTCCCCATTTGCTGGATGTTGTGCCAAGATGACCTTAGACTTCCAGGGGTTAACGTTTCTCCAATGTCATTATATTATAATGAAGCTTTTATTGTGTTGCAGGACTCCTAATCCTTGCAGGAGGTTCCTTACTTGGTTCTGAGTCTGACAGGAGAGAGGCCCTTAGACTTCCAGAGGTTAAAGGCTACAATGTAATCTTATTATAACAAAGGTGTTATTTTCTTGCAGGACTCCTAACCCTTGCAGGAGACACATTACTCACACTGGGTGTTATACACGCTGCCATGTGCCTCCATAGAGACATGCTTGCCAACATCTTACGCTTGCCGCTGACTTTCTTCGATGTGACGCCCCTCGGACGAATCGTAAACCGATTCTCATTGGATGTAGAGATATTGGACACAAAGATATTCTGGATCTTGTCGGACATGGTCTATTGTTTCTTCGAAGTCTTGAACCATCATTATTGTTGTGAGCATCGTCAACACCCTTGTTCCTCACTGCACTGGTGCCGCTCATGATACTGTACTA